CCGGGGGCGGGGTGGGGGCCCGGCTGCAGGTATTCACTGGGGCTGACGGCAGCAGTCGCAGCCATGCTGTCTCTTGATCTGCGAGGAGGAAGCAGAGAGACGGAGGAGTAAGACCAGCAGCAAGAGCCAAGACTGCAGCTCCTCAGTGTGCCCATGCCAAGGCCCCGATGCCCGAGGGACTCTCCTGGTGTGTCCCTGTATCAACCAAAACGTCACACCTCACACACACGCCTTCAGCAAGGGGGGTTACAAAGGAGCTAGGGAAACCTCACCGTCTCATCACCTTCTCCCCACACTTCCCTTTGACCTTCGTTTGCCACCAAAGGGAAATACCAATTACGATGAGCAACAGGCTGCAGCCCTCACTCATTTGCCTGCATCCCAGCACAGCCTTGACCTGAAGCCATGGCCCCCCCGGCTGACAGAGACCATTGTTGCCCTGTGGAGCCCCCCACTTCAGAGCAGAGGCAGGCATACCCGGGGAACCGACAGCTTCCCGGTTCCCAGCCCATGTCGTCTCCCTGCCCCTTGTTTTTCTAACTTTGGAAAGCAAAAAGGACAGAGTTTTGGTACAGAATCGTGTTTTTGAGAGCTGGAAAAACATTGTTTCAATTATTTTGGTATGTTGTTGGTGCTGAGTGTTTGTAAGTCGTTACGTAATTAAAAGGTCACTTCAAGGAACTAAAAAAAAGCTGCTGGTACTGGCTGGACCTCAAGAGGCTGAGAAAAGCTGTCGGCGAGCGGGGAGGAGAGAACAGCAGCAAGTGGTACATGAAGGAGAGGAGATGCCTGTGGGAGCCAGGGCCACAGAGCCTACAAGTTCAATGGGATCTGTGTGCTGGGGAGAGGAGAGGAGCAAAGTTATGGCAGAGGAGTCATCGGTCGCTCGAGGGCCTCGGCAGGCACAGGGCAAGTGGCTGCGGCTCCTCTGATGGCACGGTGGGAGCGTGGGGCGAGGCAGGGCCACTCCGAGGGGCAGCTGCGAGGATGGGGGCGATTCATTGCCCCTGTGGCTTTGCCACCTTCCTCTCTCGACACTTTCCTTTGGAGTTTGAAATCTCCGACACTCATCGCTTCTGCTGCCTCGAGTGCCGCTGAGCACTAACACGGAGGCTGAGGCTCATCTTGCCACCGGGGCAGCTACAAGTTTCTTTTTAAAGGTTGAAGACAGCAA